TTACTTTTAGATGATTAAAAACCTAACGGCTTATGTCCAAGAAGTCTGATATCCAAGTACATGGAGAACCAGAGTTAGATCACTGGATAAAGCAGTTTTCGTTTTTCACAAGGGACAGGCAATGAGAAATTTCCCACGGTTTGAAGATTATGCAAAGCTCATACTCCCGTTTCTTGGATGAATGGAATCAGTTTAATTTTAACTTTAAACAATTGTTAGAATACATGAGGATCACTTGGGACTTTAGCAAAGCTGTTGAGATAACAGTTAATAGAGTTTGTTTAAATGTCCATTATTTTAAAAAGTCAAATGGGGATAGGTTGCTGAACGTGAAGCCCTAGTATGAAATATCATCTGAATGGGTCATCGTTGTGTCACCCTGAAATACTGTCCTTGAGTATTTAGCTAATTGTCATCAAGGGAATCTAGCATCACAAACAGTTTGTTCTCAGAAAATTATTCCACAGCCTCTTGTCTCTGAAGAAAAAACCCCATTACATTTAGATTTTTTGGAAGGATTCCATTAATGAACAAACATTCACACTCCTGTTCTGTGTTCTAAATGTATGGCATCTAAATACTATCCTTAAAACTTTTTTGGAGAATGAAAAGGAAAAGCTTGTTTTGACTTAACCATTGATTTTCAATTAACACAAACATTTAAATTAAATAACATTTTTTAGTTTTAATTTGAAAACATTTGTTGTATAACTCGATAGTGGTATTTGTGTTTGGATTGCTTGAGCTTGAGCTTTGGAGAGACACACATCAACAAATAACAAACCAAAACAGAATAATACACTAACAAACCTGTACTGTATGTGCATAATACTAAATACTTTAGAAACCCTGAGCCCTGTTTTGTTTCTCCTGATACAAAGTAAAGAATAGTTTGCCACCTGGTGTTCAATATTATATTTCATATTATACTGTATGTGATCATAAAGTTGTAGCTGACAGAATCCAATTTGGTCTTTCTGATTTGTTTGGTTCCTAGAACCTAATTGAGAATTTCCAATTTAGTTTCTCCTGTCACCTAGACCCCACAACTTGCAAAAGAAAAATGAAGGAAAAAAATGTCTTTTCTTTTTTTGCATATATAGAGATAAAATAATGTAACAAATTGTATACATTAAAAATGAATTTTAAATCACACAGAAGTTGCTGCTGTATACAACTCATAAATAGATAAGGCATTATATTTTTAGATAGAAAGACAATTACTAGCACATTTTCTTTCTTGTTAGAAAATGTGTGATATTTAACAGTCATGTCGGTAGTCTGTACACTATCTTTCTGATGTTATAAATTTTCCTGCAAGTAAAATGCTGGTATTCCTTTGCTTTAGAAATATTGCCTGTGTGCATACACTGCCAGGTGAAAATTTGTGGTAGAAATGTCTCCACCAGATGGTACTGTTCTCTTTCATGAGTGTTTAGTCTTAATCCTGGTTCTGGAGGACAACACTTTTGCTGAGTTTTGGTCTAGCAAGACACAAAAAAAAATTAGTTTGAACTGTTTGACTATTTTCACCTCTTAAACACATTGGAGGTGGCATTTTTATTATCACATTTAATAAATAAAATAAAACCCCAAACTTTTTCATATAAAAAGGCACCAAATATTCCTGTGAAGCAACTTCTTAGTTTAATTGAGAATTTGATGAAGTAATTAAGATCAGCTGGTATTAAGACCAGCAGATTGGGAGCTCCTGTTCTAGTCAATATTTATTTTAAAGCTAAAAATTATTTAGAATTAGTTTAAAAAATGTGTACACTTTTTGAAAAGATTGTGTTTTATCAGTTCTGTGATAAAGGAAAGGCATCTTCTCGAATTTCAGGAACTTGTAAATCTTTGTTTTGATTATGTAATCTTGGCATTTGTACTACAATTTAATGTGTAATAAGAATTTATAATAGAATATAATTTTATTATATAATTGTATATAATAAAAAATATAAAGATTGTTTTTCAACACGATATGGATGTTTAGTTGTACATATTCATTCACACCCTTTACATCTTTCCAGGCCAAAGTTCTAAAAGGATTAATATTGCTTGCTTAGTAATTGAGACTGATATGGTCACGAAATACCCTGTTGCACATCTGTGCATAAGCCAAAAGAATTTCATTATGATTATTGTAGTATTAAATTGTTTACACTTAAAGATAAGCCTTTAGGACTGTTTCCCTTTATGCAGGATGTAATTTCAACATATTGATTCCAATAATTCAGAAGGAAGAGTTGTAGATGGGAAATGCTCAAGATAAAAATGCTCTTAATAATAATGAAGTTCATTTAAGATAATTAAATATATATATGAAAATAATATATATATATATGAAATGAAAATGTGAAATATTTATGAAATATATATAATGAAAATTAAACAGATATATTTTCTGTTTGTCTTAATGTGCTTTTTAAACACAAAGCTTTCTAGATTTAAGAAAAACAGGGAAATCTTCTTGTAGAATACAGAATACTGAAACAGCCAGGTTTTAATACTCTGCATTTCTTTTTATCTTATTTATCCACTGTTATTTGAAATTCTGAATACTTTATATACTGTATATGACACCTGATACATTCATCAATTGTTTGACTGCTTAAATACTGTATCAATGCACCTATGCACAGACTATAGGTACTATACAGTAGGTACACTATAGGTACAATAATAGTGTTTTAAGATACAGTAAGGCCTTTTATACTAAAGGTACCACAATTAGCTGAATTGCCTCCTCTCCTTTTTAACCTTTCTTGTATTTCCTTTTACATACTGAAGATTTTCAATTAAAAGCCTTTTCTAAAGAATCGGAATATGCACAAGTAAGCATTTGCCTTTTGCAAAATACATGCCATTTACTTTTTAGTGTAGTCTAGTGTAAAATTACATGATGTGTTTGCATATCAGGTAATATCACTGGGCAACTGACTTAAAAAATATGTAATATGTACTATATAAATGAATATTTGTTTCAATCCTATTTAACAATGTTTAAGTGACATGAATAACATTATTAAACCCACTTAAACAATTAGGTGTCATACAGCTTATGACATAGGTATGTGACTGATTATTATTCATTCTTCAAATTACAAAACCAGAATGATATATACAAAATATCCCCTATACAATACATCTGGAAAATTATTATTTTAGAAAAAGATGCAAAGATGTAATAGCAAAAATGTGATAACTCATAGTTTATAGTGTTCCAGATTTCTGTTATGCAGTATGTCTTCAAAGGGACATTTCATTCACCTAGTCACATATAATTATGCTAGCACTGTAACTACAGTATCAACCAGCCTCACAAAAATCGCACAACAAAAGACATGCACGTGAACGTGGAAAAGCTGAAGCTTCTTTTAAATCATAACAATGTTACAAATGAAGGGAAAATTTGAGAACTCCATTTTGACAGTTTCAAGGACATAAAAATGAAATACACATAGACTCATTTGCTTGAATGTGCTTTATTGTATATACATTATGTATATACTGTACTGTATATGCCTACAAATCTGTCTATGTGAAATAAAAGTCGGTATGCAGCATGACTTCAGAGTATGCCACACTACTCAAATATTCTATAAAAAGTCAAGATTTGTCACATACCTATGCAGATGCACAGCATTCACTCTTTTAAATTGCACAGTTTATATAACAACTGTCCTCCTCCACTCCCCTAAAGGTAATAAAATGATGCCATTTTATTACAGTGTTGTGTGGGTTTGGCTGCATAGTCTAAGATGAGCTGTACATTATGACTCATCTGATTTATACTGTAGGCAGAGAACATATGCTGTTCAGAAGAGAAAGGCTCAGGGATTGGTAGCTAATCATGGTTACCATGGTAATCAGTTTATTCTTTGTTGTCCCTTTAAAAAAATCCTTCGGTTTTTCTTATTATTCTAAAATGTCTTTTTCCAGCTGTAGTCTGTCATTAATGTAATGGTTGACAAAAATGACATAAAATCCTTTCTTTTTAATTGCTGTTTGTGACTTCTGCCAATAATACCCATCATCTGGATTATTGCACATTACCACTGCATTACAAATACAAATTACTGTATAAAAAATTACAAACTTCATCTCAGGGATGGAAAAAATAAAATAAACAACATGACCAAATTTACCTGTATAATCATTTTAAAGTTTAAAAAAAAAACACTAGCAGTTTAACTTGACATAAAACAATAAATTGCACATTTGAAAAGCCTTTGACACCTGTTCTTACTCATTAACTACTGACTTAAAACTACTCATTAACTACTTGAACTTGAAATACTGCTGGCCAGCCTCTGCTCCTTCATTGTCAGTTTATGGTCTAATGTTTAAATAAGACTTAATGACCTACTCTCTTATCTTCAGTACAATGCTTATCTAGTCATAAACTGACTTTTCCCTCCACACACATTTTCATGTTTTAATTACGTTTGCCAACCCCCTTTGCAGAAAACATGTTTCACACACAAAAACACAATATCCAAGATTTTTTCCATTAAGCTAAAATTTGATTAAAATATATACATAAGAATACTTTTATATTTACTTGAGAAATATGTGAGCATTCTTCACTAAGTCCTTCAGGAAAATAAATGTGTACTGTATATGAAAAACTGCCTTAGTGCATCAAGACAAATGCACTAAATTATTAAACATGAATACTACAGAATGTACATAAATTAGTGGCAATAGAAAAGGCAATTTTAAAACCAAAATGGTTAATTTGAATGGAAGGATAGCATACTGTGAATGAAAAAGTGTTTGTTTTGTTTGGGATATATTGTCATTTTAAGTATCTTAACAGAAAATGCAAACCCAGTGTGTGAGGGATTGTTTTATTCTGAAGGACACTGGTCAGCAAAATATATTTTTTTCCCAATAATAAAGCCTTATACTGTATTTGGTATGCATTAGCATGTAACCCATTGAATGAAACGGGAACCAGAAATTTTCAAGCAATGAAAAACATTTATTTAAATAACATTTCACTAAAAATACAAATTAAGTGCAAAAATCCACATAGGCACAACAATCATTTCAATCTTTTATCAACCAGTTACATTAAAATAAATAAATCAATCAATAAATATAATATAATAACAGTAGTTCCATGTTAAAAGTTTAATATTATTATCAAAAAGCAGTGCATCTCCAGTTGCATAATGTGTTACATAGATGTGCTTTAATCTAACACTTTCTCTTCTTCGCTTCCGTATCTCCATCAGCTTCTTCTTGGAAATATATTCATTACAATCTGGCCACTGAGCCAGACAAGCTTTTGGCAGATACCCAGTTATGTAACTCGGAGTCTGCTATGCCTTGTTCTGTAGTTGACTTTGCAGGCCTCGGGTCTACACTCCTAGCATTATTCACCGGACATTCCTTCAGAGTAAATCCCATCGTTTGTCAACGGAAGATCACACTGTGTTTTCATGTGTGAGATTTCTTGCTGGAAATTTGCTGCTTGGCACTTTTGTATGTGGCCTTTTTGATCAAGTCTTGGTAGAGCGCTGATCTTAGAAAACGGGGGTAAGAGTCTTTCTCCATTAAAGTATAGATTTTATTCTGTGCCAAGTCAAAACACGAAATGGAGGGTTTCACAAGGTTGAACTTTGTGATATTTCTTGTTTCATGATCGATATTGACCTATGGAAAGGACACAAGAAAAAATCATGAGAAAATGTTTTCTTAGAATATGTGTGCAATGTAAATGATGCTTATTAGAATTAATGCTATTTAATATATATATGCTATATAATAATGGGAAAACCTACCTCTCTTGGTGCATCACTTTCAATAAATTCCTCATAAATTTTCTTTGCCATTGCATCCAGCTTTGATGTTGATTTTGGAATCTTGTAGTCTTCACAGGCTAAATAGAAAGCAATGTTTTCTTCACTGAACTCCAATATCAAGAATTTTCTGAAGGTTGCTAAACCATCTATTCAAGAGACAAAAGAACAATTGTTTATTTTTTTAAAATCTAACATTTGAACATTTTTTATTGTTTAACAACATATCAGCAACGAATGTAGAACAAATGCAATAAGTAAAGCCTATTCATTTTTTATCCATGCCACTTCTAATTAACTTTACAGCAAAATAATATATTTCGCCAGACTGCTTGGCCACAAATTCTTGGTCTGAATCTGGAGTTCAGAGTTGTGACCTTAGGCCCTCTTTTTCTTCTGATGTTCCCTTTCAGAATTTTTTTAGATGAGCTGAAGTATCTCTTACTATGACGATTTTCATATATTCATATAAGATGGTAATTATGAATGTTTTTCATATTGTTATACAATATACAGTATATTATACATAAAATATGATAGTTTTACTAATAATTTAAAAATGCTGAGGCAAAGAACCATCGGCAAAATCAGAGAACTGAAGAATGTGAATTTTCAATAATGTAGAAGGCAAAATAAATGTTATAGAAAGAAATGTAATACTTACGTTTGTTTTTCAAGAGTGTTACAAAAGACTCTTTCCATTTTAAAGCTTCGTCAGGAGTAGGCCTAAGGATAAATAAAATATTAGTTACATTTCCCTGAATTAGCTGTATACTTGCTTATACAGGTTATACAAATAAATCTTAATTTCAAAGGTAAGATTTGATTCAATAATTAAGACACTACAGTCACTCCATATTTAGCAATGTTAATTTTCTTTTGAAATACTTGGTATCTTGAATAATGACCTTAAGTATTATTGGCATTTTAAAATTAAGACATTTACAGATTAAGAGTTTGAACTAAAGAGATGTACTGTAGCATTGAGATGTGTAATATGTAATGTGCTATTACTGTATGAATGTCATTACAATTAAAATGATTCTGATACATATTTTAAATCAGATATTGCTTGACATCTTACCTAACTTGATCTGCTTTGTTTGAATATTCAGAATGGCTGGAGTCTGCCTTTTGACAAAAAATGCCCAAACGTGCCCTTAATTCCTTGGCCCTGAAGAACAGAATCAAAGACAAAGGTATATAATTTTATGGTCTTGCTCATGCACAACAATAACAAGCTATTATATATTATACTCTATGTAGTTCAGAAATTCACTGTACCCAATGAAAGTATCAACATTTTCTTATGGTCTTTAACAAACTTTAATTGAATAATTATTAAAATGTAGTTATAATAATAGACCACAATATGCCCAATCATCTACCTACGGTATGAATGACTGTATATCTTTTATATATAAATACATATGCATGAATGCATCTATATACATACACTTACATTAAAATACAGATTTCCTTAACAACAAAAAATACATATTGATAATGGAATAAGTATTACATTATAACGTTACTACTGCATTTTACAAGCTTCATCATTTAAAGAATTTCAAGAAAATATTTTTTAAGTAATACCTGGATCATTTTTTAAACATTTCTTATCACTATTTTTACAACATTAGTGCTATAATTACTGTTCTCCCATGCAATTCAAAGCTGGTTACTTGCCATTATGCATAAAAAATAAATTTAAAAGAAAGCTTACCTCTCCAGGCATGTTGTTGGTAGTGATGCAAGCCCTCTGCACATTTTGAATTCAAGGTGAAACAGCTTTTAATCCTTCACAGATGAACAGATGTTACTGTATTTCCTCAGCTGTGTTTCTCAAAGCTGGGAACATGCTCTTATAGGGAAACAAGATTGACATCAGCACTGCATCCAACCAATCAGCAAGACTCTGGGGGAGTGAGCAAGTGAAGCATTTACCAACAGCTGTCAATTGCTCAGTGACTGTATGAAAATAGCTGTTATTCTCAGTGATTTCCCAAGTCATATCGCTGTGATTTTCCCAGTTAAATCACTTTTTAATATGTTTGTCCTTTGCAATATTTTAACATTTAAGATAAATGCAGGAAATATAAAATCAATATTTAAATACATACAGTAGCTAAATATAATATACTATAGCAGCTAACTTTTTGACCATCTGAAGGAGGGTGAATGTCTTTTTCAGTGTTGTTACAAGGTACTTCTCTGAAATTCAAACCTGGCCAGCAGAAATATAAATTGATAACAAGCTCTTTTTTAGGAATACGTGTTATATTAAGTTTGGGCTTTATTATAGAAGCATCAAAATGCCATTAGGATTATGGCTTGGGAATTATTAATAAAAGTGTCCCTCTAAACTAAAGAATTGAAAAGAACAATCCTTACTTTTCTGTGATTTCTTTTTCCTTAGAGGGCTGAAGTATAATAATAAAACAGTATCCTGTAATTTCTGGTTACATATCAGAGACTAAAAAATAGACCACAAAGAACCTGACCTACTTTGTTCAGATCGTCTATTTTCAAGGACATTGGAATAACATTTAATGTAATAAAGCAAAATGAGGAACTACGTTTGTGAGTGCCCACCAGCACGCCAACGCAATGATGTCAAACCTTTTAAAACGGTAGTCACCTGTCATCCAGATGTTTTTTTATATTAATTGTCTGAAAAGTGAGGGTTTCCTTATGAAATCTCAAACAAAGGTTAGGAAAGCTGTCCTTGGGTACCTAAATCTTACCGATGATGTAAGCCTCTTACTGTCACTCTTTCTGTAGAGAACAATTCATTTTGAAAGAACAGTGGAGTGGGAACATGCATTTTTCAAATTGTTTCACAAACCTTTTTACAGAGAAATGTGTTAGTACATTTTATTTATTACGGAAGTAATCGTTACAGGGTTATCATGACGCATATCAGTCAGCATGAATTGGAACCTATACCATATTCCCAGAAATTAACATGCACTAGCTAGCTTGTGTCCTGTTTCACAGAACAATGAGTTCAGGGAAAGGAGAAAGAAGTATGAGTCTGTGTACACTGCTGAAGGCAGTAAATGTTCTACCAGTTTAACTGGGCATTCAATTCATTTTGACATCTATTTCATCAATCAAAGACACTGTATCTATGAAACCACAAAGTTTCTACATTTATACAAGTATATCTTTTAATTTACAGTACAGGACAGTTGTGTCAGTTGAAATAATTACACACTGTCATTAATATTATCCCTTAAGAAAGGAATTTTGGCAGAAGGATCAGAACAGTAAATACAATTCTATGGATGTGTATAAAATATATATCAGAAAGCAAGCAGGCAAGACATTTCATGTTTGTAAAAAATGTATATAATATACTATAGATAATAACATTGAACCTATCCATTCATTTTCTGACCTCTTTATCCAAGTCAGTGTTGCAGGGCAGTCTCAGCAAGGTGCAAGGCAGGGTACATCCTGCACTGGATGCCAGTCCATTGCAGGGTGTACACAAACACACACATACTCACACCAAGGCCAATTTTCCCAGAAGCAAATTAGCCTACCAGTATGTATTTGGACTGTGAGAGGAAATCGAAGCAAGGAAATCCATGCTAAATCGGGGAGTGCAAACTCCGCGCTGATAGCACCCCAAGTCCAAATAGAGCCCCAGCTCTATACCATCATCCAACCCAGACTAACATTGTACTGTATATCAATCAGATAAAATGTAATTTTTATATATAATGTTAATGTTAAAAGTTATATATCATATCTATTAAAACTTACTTTATTTCCTGCATATTTTTAAGATTGGACACCTTCTAGTCTATGAACTGTATTGTCTTTGCTTGCGTATGCTTGTTCTGCACATATAATTAAACAGATTATCTTCACCTAGCTGTATTTAAAGAGAGAGAGAGAGAGAGAGAGTAGTCACAATTAAGTAAATCATTCAAGTAAATTTGAAAACACATTATAAGTATAATACCCTCCCTAAAAGGTTCAAATTAAATTCCCCCTTTGGGAATTAATTTGTTGTGATATTCATTGGTATGGCCAGCATGAATGTTTGGAAAACATGTTTTGTACTTTGGTAGAAAATAGGTTGTTATTTTTATGCTTTTTTTCTGAATGCTGTACTTTTTCTTGTGACGTTTTATACAGTTAATCACCAGCATGGGAGAGATGATTCTGCTTAAGCAAGAATGCTGATGGTTTGGGATGCTTCCACAGCAACATGTACTCTACTAGAAAAGCATTTTGCATGTTGTCGTTTTTCTAAGTGTGAACAGTTACAGATCCTGCCTGTATTTTAATTCACTTCTAAGGTACGTACCTGCTTAGTTTAGGAGATTTTTTAATTTAATAATTAGTTTATATTCTAGTTCTATGAGATGCACTGAATTTGTTAACAACTTGATATTCCTTAGATAAGATAAGAAAATATATGTAATATTTAATGTTATTTGTTAAAAATACAATTTACTCATTCCTCTCTATATTATCATTAATTTTTAAGGTATTATTAAAAAAAGAAAGAGGAATAAAAAATATGACAACTTCCCTGAAAAATGTGACAAAGAGAATATATAAGACAATATCAATGAATACCTAAGTTGAACAAAAAAAATAACTCTACATAAACAATATTCAATAAATATATTAACCCTACAAAGCCAATTTTATTTCTATATTTCATACAGATCAAAACATATTTATTCTAAAGCATATGCTGTATACCAAATGCTGTATAACTATATATATATTATTTGAACTTTACCTTTAAGAACTACAAATTTTAGAAGTAATGCTTCCTTCTGTGGTAAACATAATGCAGTCATATACCATACATTAGTTTTCTTTTAGAGGTCTCATTTTACAGTAAATGGGTATTATCTATTTATCTATCTATTTCTAACAAGCAGGAGATTGTAAGATACTGTAACAGAGTTACTGATTTAATTATAAGTTATTTTGTTATTATTTGATTTGTCACTTAGTTTGCTTAATTGCAATTTTCTATTCTCTAACTGAAGCCAGTCAAATCAAGAGGGAAATAAGGAATGTCTGCAGACAGGGTGAGTGAGCAAAACAAAAAGAAGATACAGTAACGTTGACCAGGTTTTTAGACTGGTCCACTGGAAGACAAAAATTACTGCACTTTTGCTGGAAGTGTTAATACAGATTTGCTTTAAGAAAGCAAAATTTGGATTTATTTGTGTTTGTGTATACCATGAACCTTCTTCTTTTTTTAATAATTCACGGTAATAAAAAAACGTCCTTTTATCTTTTGATTTTCTTGAGCTGTTAAATATCCTGCTGTGAGTACTCTCATTGTTCATTGGTGCACTGTGTATGCTTGTAGTAAAAATTACAATACCATCTGGAGAAGGCTCCACATCCGAAACATAGTGTCTCTGTTCTTTTACTTTCAGCATGGAATAAACCTTTGCCTGTTCCAAAATTACAATGCTACTGAAGTATGGCTTTCTGTCAGCTCCAAGCTATAGTCATGCCATGCTACAGTATGTTTGATTTCACTATGTTTTCTTTTCGCTCACACCCGAAGAAGGCTCCATAGCCCAAAATGTTGTGTTTCCTTTCTTCTCTTTTCAGCATGGCATAAACTTTTTTTACTTGTTCCTTTGCAGCCTATGCATGCTGACGCAGCTACCTACTTGAACTGCTTTCTTTATGTTGCCTTTCTAGAAACAACTGTCAGTTAGTTTATTCAGAATCATATCTTGCTGACTGGTAATGACATATTTCTTTCACCACAAAGAAGAAATATATTGTGTGTAACTTTAAGTGTACACGGATAGAAACAGGTTTACAACACACTAAATTTAAACAAAGTCAATAGCATACTGTATTAGGCTGGTGTAGATCCAAGTTTTCAATCTAACTCAGCTCACACTGTGCTAAAATAGACCAATTTACCAGATTGCCAATTTAACTCGGATCTTCAAAAGTCTCTGTTGTAAAAATACTTAGAAACCCTGCAGATGCTTTGCCCCTTCAGCACCTGAAAAGGAGAGGCCTACTCTGCCTAGACTGCCAAATCAATGTGAAACCTCATTGATTTGGCAATCTGGTATTATACTTTACTTTGGTGGGTGATCATTTTGACTTAATCTACAGTATGTGCTAGGATATTTGGAGAATATTTCAATTTACTATACCTCCCCAGTCCCTCCATCTAAATATTAATTTTACTATTTAAGCTCTAATAATATAGTACAATCTAGTTGCAGTTTCTATTTACAATATTATTAGCAAAAATGGTATTTAGCAAAAATAAATTTGACACATTTTGCAAGTAAGGCAGTTGATAAAACACCAGTCCAAACACATTTGACATGTCTTATACTGTATGCCCAATTGTGCTGCCAGTCTTTGATCTACCAGTCATTCTGTTAATGGCACAGAGTTCCCTAGCAACCCTAGTGGGATGTAGTAGGCTGCACAGCTTGCATTCAAAGTCAGTGTCAGATATGATGCTTTTGAAACACTATAATTTATTACTGGGCATCAGAGTTGAAATTTATCAAAGGCATACAATAAAGCAGCCTGTTCTAGTGGGTAAATTGTCACATGGATCACCAATGGCAGCACTATTTGGTGAATTATTTTCACAGGTGTAAGATAAGGGGTTTATTTTCATGTCTCTTTCAATATATGATAAGAGAATTGGCAAATTAAATCTCTTTCAAATTGCAATGAAAAAGCAACCAAATGAAAATATTTATTAAATGTAAACATTAAACATTATACTGCTTTATTTTAGCTCAATGTTGATCAACATAAAATTAATAATATAAAAATAATAAGAAAAGACCACTTTCA